TTCTCCTATTTAACAATGTCAACCAGGCTTGTTGAATAAGTTTCTTTCCCAGATTTTGCAAGTTGTCTGCTATTAGCTGTTTTTCAAAGCAGCTCTCTTCTTTCTCTTTCTCATTTCTTCTTCTGTGAGACCCACTATTTTTTTAAAAAAAATTTTATTAGTGAAACACCATGAGGTACAATTGTAGACTTACAAATTTTTGTGCTTGGGTTTCAATTATAGAATGTTCGAGTACCCATACCTCCACCAGTGCCCATTTTCCACCACCACTGGTCCCAATATCCCTCCCAACCCCCATACCCTCCATCCCATCCTTCCTCTGTGGCAGGACATTCCCTTTTGTTCTCTCTCTCCTTCTGGGTGCTGTGGTTTGCAAAAGAGGCATTGAGTGGAAATCATGTTCGGTCTATAGTCTACTTTCAGCATGCATCTCCCATCCAGGGAGGATCCTCCCAACACCCTTTATTGGGTGCTCTCTTCTCTATCTGAGCTGCCTTTTCCCCACCATGTGCGGCTGACCTCCATTAGATTCATTAGATCTCTGGAAGGATAAGCCATGGAGTGAACCTCCTGGTATTTATCTCTGCTATTCTTGGGTGTTAGTCTCCTATTTTGTTACTTTATGTTCCCCAGATGAATGCAGTCTTTCTATGTCTGTCCCTCTCTTTCTGACTCATGATACTGACTTTCGCTTAGCACGATACTTTCCATGTAGTACCACTTGCATGTGAATTTCATGACCTCATCTTTTCTGACAGCTACATAGTACTTCATTGTATAGATGTACCAAAGTTTCTTTAACCAGTAATCTGTTCTTGGGCACTCAGGTTTTTTCCAGATTCCAGCTATTGTAAACAGTGCTGCAATGAACAAATAAGTGCAGATGTCACTTCGACTATACTTTTTTGCCTCTCTGGGATATATTTTCAAGAGTGCTGAAGACTCAGTATTTCTTGTGGTGCCTGTCCTAAGAGTCGGATAGCCCATGTTTCGTTTATTTCTTTTCTTTTCCTTTTTTTAAAATGTGATTTATCTCTCTTTGTTCACATGAATTGTGTGGATTTTTCTGTTTGGACTCACAGATCTATGCCTCCACTGGGCGTGTCTCCTTCAGTAACACTCAGGGGTACTCTTGATCTTATTTCATGAGCCCTTCACATAAGAAATCTTTGCTAGTTTCTTAACTTACTGCCTTTTCTTCTATCTACTCATTAACTTTATTCTTGAACTCATGAAGTTGCTTTCCTGAGTTTTATTTTGTAACTTGGTGAGTGCTATTTTGAATTTTTTTGGGGGGTCACACCCGGCGATGCACAGCGGTTACTCCTGGCTCTGCACTCAGGAATTACCCCTGGCAGTGCTCAGGGGAAATATGGGCTGAAAAATCAAACCCGGGTGAGCCTCATGCAAGGCAAACGCCCTACCTGCTATGCTATTGCTCCAGCCCCGCTATTTCGAATTTTTGGTTGAATCCTAATCTTCCATGTCTCTGAGTTTTGTCTGGGGAGAGTTGTGCTTTTTGCGTGTCATTTCCTGCTCCCTAGTACTTGTTAGCTGTTGTTCATGTCAAGGAGAGTAAGGCAGAGAGCATCCCAGGTTACCATTTTGGTCCAGTCCTGTTCATTTTTATAACTCCCAGTAGTTGATGGTCTGCCCAGGGGCGAGTATCTTAGTCAGTAGTTAGATGGAAGTCCTTTAAGGTAGTGGTATTTATTTATTTGGGGGATCACACCTGGCAATGCTCAGGGCTTACTCCTTATTCTGGACTCAGGGAATCACTATTGGTGAGCTCAGGGAACCACATAGATACTGGGGATTGAAACTGGGTAGTCACATTAAAGGCAAATGCCCTACTATTCCGGCCCTGAGCAGTGGTTTGCAAACCATAGAAATATGTAATCATCACAATCAGACTAGAAGCCTGACCACTAGAGCAAAGAAATAGGTGGTTGTCCCGTTGAGGTGTAGTGAGATGAAAGGTTCAGACTCAGCTTTTAGATGCGTGTGGAGTTCACAAAGGTCCAGAAATTAGCCTTGTCTTGTTTTGTGGGCCTTTGGGGTGGTCAAGAAGCTGATGTCTCAGGAGTTTGGGCAGTGATCGGGCTGCGGAGGACACAGGAGACAGGAGGTTTGTGGCCGGGAGTTTCTGTTAGCAGCTATGGGACCATCTGAGGTGTTTGTGCCCGTCCATGAGCTGGGGAGTGTGGTTAAGTGGTCAGAGGTCTGTGGGCCTGTTTTTTTCATCATAGTTTTGTGTATGCTGTAACCAGTGTTGCTCGGGTATTTCTTGCCCGGTGCACCGGAGTCACTTGTGGAGGTACTTGGAGCAACATCAAGTGTTGCTGCAGATCGAGCTAAACCACGAGCATGCAGTGTGTGTCCTTCAGTCCACTGAGCTGTGTCCCTATGGCCATAGGGGCTGTGGCTGGGGAATGGTGCCGGGCCAGCTGGGAAGAAGGCTAGGAAGTCAAGTCTCCTGGTGTGGAAGTGCAACTTTATCCTTGTAGAGACAGCCTGACTAGCTGTAGGTCAGCAGAAGAGTGGAGGCAGCGGACAGGCATTCCCTCGAAGAGTTGGGTTTTGTCTCAGGAGGTTCGAGGTGGGGAGCAGGATTCTGGGATGTTGGTCCATGGGGGTGAAACCATTGTTCATTGCTGCTCTCAGCTGCTTGCTGGAGGTGCAGAGGGGCCTCCTCTGGAATTGACCCTTTGGGTCTAGGGGTCTGGAGAATGGGTTTCCATTTTGTCCTCTGCTGGGTGGTGAAAGGCCTCCAAGATGGCACCGCTGGCCACTCCCACAAAACAATCAAGGCTGATCAGTCTTGATTGTTTTGATTTTCTTGAGAGCCTTGATGTGCCCTGTGGATCAGGCACTTTTCTGGTCACTGTTGCTCCTCTGGGTCGTAAGGCCAGTGAGTCTGCTTGCTGAGAGCTTAATCTCGGTTTCCACTTGCCTGAGGCTTTCCCGAACCTCCTTCCCTTCTTTCTACTCTCCATGGAGGGGCTGACCGGACTCTCTCTGTTCCCCAGGGTGAGGGTTCCCACAGCACAGCTTCCTCCTGTTAGCATTCTGGGTGAAGCTTAGCACCTTAACGGCTGCTTTCTGCTTATTTGCCCTGCAGGGCCATTCCTACCTTCCCATGTCATCTTTCAAGTTGACTTCTGAGTTAACTGTGTAGCTTTGATCTCACAGTGGAAGCTGGCAAGAGCAGGTGAGGCTTGGCCTAGCCCTAACCAGCTCTCTTGGGGATGCCCTCTCAATCCTCTGTCTCCAAGGCCTGCGTTTTCCTCTTTCACTTGTATTACTTACCAAGCTCTTCGTTACTCCTTTGCTTTCAAAACATTTCTCTTCTGTAATGATTTGTTTCTCTCTTACTTCACTTAGTTCCTGGAGGGCATATAAAATGACATAAATGTTATGTTTCTGACATCTAATGTAAGTGCCTTCTACATCTTAATGAATACTTTGTAAAGGACTTAACAAAAATCTTTTTTTTTCCTTTTTGGGTCACACCCAGCAATGCTTAGGGGTTACTTCTGGCCCTGCACTACTCCTGGCAGTGCTCCTGTCAGTGCTCAGGGGACCATATGGGATTCCGGGATTGAACCCTGCTCGGCTGCCTGCAAGGCAAACGCCCTACCTGCTGTGCTATCGCTCCGGCCCCAACAATTTTTTTTTTGACTGAATGGTTAGCTGTAGATGACTTAGATTATGAGTAGTAGTTTCAGTTTTAACATTTGTAGAAATGAAGCCATCAAGGGTACAGTGTCAAGAAGGTGCACTACATCCTTCCATGCAATGGATGTACTTGACCAGAGAAGCTGATTAGAAAACAGTGTCATTGTCCTGAGGGCTTTTCATGTCATTTTAAACCCAATTCCTGAAAGTCAACCTTTACTCTCTACTTTATAGATAAGAAAGTACAGGCTTAGTAAGTGTAAGGAAATTACATAGATTCCAGCTAGAGTTGTTGCTTAAAAAAGGCAGAATTTTAAGACAGATCTGTCTGATAGTCTCTAACAGCCTGTATTTCAGTATAATTCAGTTCTATCCTTCTGTCATGTGCTATGCTGCCACTGGAGAAACAGTAATATCTTAAAACATGTTGTTTTTTTTACCTTTTATTTATTTATTTTAAATTTTTATTAGTGAAACACCATGAGGTACAGTTGTAGATTTACAAATTTTTGTGCTTGGGTTTCGATTATACAATGATCAAATACCCACCCCTCCACCAGAGCCCATTTTCCACCACCATGGATCCCAGTATCCCTCCCACACTTAAAACATGTTTTGATTTTGATTTTTAATTTATGTAAGTTCTTATAACATATCAGATCTTTATTATTGCATTTTATTATCATTGTTTCAAATGAAAAGATGTAGCATTTGAGTTAAAGTTTAGGCTCTCCCTGTGTTGTTTTGATCTTAATCATATCTTATTCTTTTTTCCCCACTTTACAAATATTGAGAAATTGTGATTTATAATAATCAGTTGTAATCAGTGATATTTTATCTCTGATGACATTTTCCAATTTAGAAAATTTATTAGTCAATGGGACCAGAAAAAACTTTTAGAAATATAAATAAGTCATATAAAATTATATTTTTTCTAATTTTTATGCTATAAATATAAATAACTCATAAAATTATATTTTTTCTAATTTTGATGCTATAAGATGAAATTAAAACTAACAGTGATGCTATCTTTCATGTTTATATACATAAAAACTTTTCTTTATATTTTAAAGTTTATTCTCATTAAGATAACCAAATGTTTAATTAGGATTCTATTTGTTGAAAGAACATTTTCTCTTTTCTGATATTTGTTTATTTAATGGCTTTTATAGAATTGATTCTGTTTGAATTTCTTGATAAATTCTAGCATATAGCATGCTCTTGCTTTAGTTTATATTTGTTTTAAGAATTAAATTAATTATTTCTTTTTCATTTTGTCTTTTCTGTCCTTTCTAACTTGCTTTCGTGGACATTCACACCAGGAGGACAAAGTGGTTAGAGTCTTTTTTTTCCTGTCTAATATTATTTTTTTCTTATTATTGTTACTGCTAAATTTAATTTTATAGCTGTGTTTAATTTATATGCTTCTAAACATATTTATAGTTTAGTGCATGATAATTAATAGACATAAGACAGACCTTAAGCATGCTGATTTTATTAGAAACATGTATTACAGATGAAAATTGATAACTTTGGTTCTTAAACAGGCTTACATCTTTATAATTTATTATTTCTTTTAATGATGTCTCATAGCATTTTCTTTAGTCCTGTAATGAAAATTCCTTAAACTTAATGAAGGCATTGCATAAACTAACATGGTATAATTCTGTGAAATTATCATTGAACTGGTCCAAATTTTTAAAAGAAAATTCTGAGTTGCTAGGAAGATTTAATCTTTGTAATGATGAGTCAATAGCATTGGGCATAAATTTTTCTATGTACATTAATAAAGTACATTGGATACTTATTACAAATAAGTATTTAATGTACTTATTTGTAATAAGTATTTAATGTATTTTATTCTTCTTAATGGTGTTCCAGAGGTTGGTGAAATATCAATCATAAATTTGATAGTGAATATAGATATAATTATTCTAATATTAGGCATAGAGGACTTCTCTGCAACCTAGGGTTTAGTTGCATATGTCCACTCGAGCAAATCGATGAACAATGGGAGGACAGTGACAGTGACATGAGAACTTCTAGGAGTCAGGATAAAAGAGCAAGAAGTAATTGCCACTCTTTTAAATCCATTGTTATTTGAATAGGGATCTGCCCTGGACTTTGTTGTGTATCTGCAAACAGGGATGAAAGTGTCCTATTCTGAGTCTTTTTGATGAGTCAGATGAAACTTGAGGTTTTTTTAAGTTTTCTAAATTCAGATTGGCATCATACACAAAGGGAACATCCTTCTGCTGAGATCTTCCAAACAGTGCCTGCCTTGGTTTTGATCAAGCGGAGTCTTGTTATTCTTCTCAGTCTCAGTGGCTAGTTTAGGGATAATGTAGGTGCTGGCAAAGAACAATGTGGTTTTGGGATTAAATCCCTGAGTGGAAAAAAAAAAGATACTATGCAGACTTTTCCTTTTTAACCAATGAAAGTTACACAGTTACACTAAACTTTTGAGACAGTTTTTAAGTACAGTCAATTACTGCAGACATGTCAGGTACATCCTTCTCACTCAGGGCGGGGTCCCTGGAGAGCCCACCCACTCCCTACCAGCCAGATTCCCTCAGTGACTCCAGAAGTGCAGTTGAAAGCTCGTGCAGTCTCCAGAGACGCCCTTGTGTCCAAGGATGCAGAGTTTGAATGTTTGCAGTGTTTTCATAATGAGTCCTGACACCTGTCCCAGAAATGAGACATCTCACAATAACCCAATTATAGAAACGACATTTATGTATTGACACGATTTCATCATGTGACAGTCTGTATTTTAAGCCAAAAATGAACAAACGGGCTAGAAAGTACTGCGAGTAGGGCACCTGCCTTGCACATGGCTGACCCGGATTTTATCCTAGGCACCCCATATGGTTCTCGGAGCCCTGCCAGGAATGATCCCTGTGCAGATAACCAGGAGTAAGCCTTGAGCACCTCTGGGTGTGACCCTCCCCTACAAAGACCATTCATTGACAAACATAAAATAACATTATCTTTATATGAAATATTGCAAATAAAATTGAACAGGTCTCTTAATGACACTGAGTAGCAAGTATAATAGGACCTTCAAATAGTGATGAAAATGGTTTATATAATCACTGAACTCACGTTACCAGTTTGTGCAAGAAGGGTTTACTCAGCGCCCGCCTCACACATTGACAGGGAGAGCACTAGATGGGAACATCCTCCCAAAAGGCAAAACCAGGGAATATGAGTGACAGTGGTCAAGAGAGCTTCTAGAGAATTGAACCAGGACCTGCCGGGTAGGATGACTGCAGAGATCAAAATAGGCTTCCTGTAGCTTTGTTTCATCATTGTTCATTGGCTGTTGTGTACCTTGAATGGTCAGTTGACCAAAGTGTATTTCTCATTCTTCCTGCTTCTGAGCTAGCGTTTTTGTTGAAGTTACTCATGTTCTATCTCCATTGTCTTATAGTGGGGTGTGTTGGGGATATAGAACATATCTTTCATTGGATAGGTCAGTGGTTCCTGATGATCCACACTTGACCATAATGCTATGGTTTGCTCTGCTTCAGAGATCCTGGATTCAGAGGGGATTTAATAGTTGGATGAGACAATGGGATTGCCTTCTTCTGGGAGGCGGTGAATATGTTACATGGAAAATGTTCTGTATGGATGGGCCAGAGTGATAATACAGCAGGTAAGGCACTTGCCTTGCATGTGGTTGACCGTGGTTTGTTCCCCTGCCAGGAGTGATCCCTGAGCACAGAGCCAGAATTAAGCCATAAGCACCACTGGGTATGACCCCCCAAACCACAATTAAAACCAAACAAATAAAAGAAAGTTTATATGGAATGTTAAATAGTTGAAAGAACATAGGGATTTGAAACCTTGCCAGAGATTTGAAAAACTGGGGGAAAAATTGAGAAATGTTTTAAGCTTTCCTTGAAAATAGTTAAGTGGGAATGCTATGGTTCTAGCCAATGAGAGGAAAAAGAAAAAAGAAAAATGCATGAGAACTTCCAACTGGGCCAACCGGTGTTCGATTCCTCCACCTTCGATTCCTCCGTCCCTCTCAGAGAGCCCAGCAAGCTACCGAGAGTATCTCGTCCACATGGCAAAGCCTGACAAGCTACCTGTGATGTATTCGATATGCCAAACACAGTAACAACAAGTTTTACAGTGTTACTGAGCCCGCTCGAGCAAATCGATGAACAATGGGAGGACAGTGGCAGTGACAGTGACATGAGAACTTCTAGGAGTCAGGATAAAAGAGCAAGAAGTAATTGCCACTCTTTCAAATTCATTGAGCTCCCCACAGCCAGTGAAGATTAGAGAAAGCCAGAAGTCATCAGAGCTGATATCGTTAAATCACTGATCTGACACCACTGGAAGCTTTTCTCCCAATTTGCTTCTGCCCCCAGTGGTGAGATTTTCTCTTTGAACCAAATAACATTTCTCCCACCACTTTAGTGGAATGGTGCAGTGGGGAATCCATGCAGATATCTGGAGTTGTGCTTCAGAAGGTCAGACCCAGCTTCTTCAAGTGCCTGGTTATCATTGCCTGGATTTTTGGTCTGTTTTTGCCTCTGTTAAAGACTCAGCACTCAGGTTCATAGCTGTTCATGTAGTACATGCAATTTACTTCCATTGGCAAACAGTAAACTAATATTAAGATGTTGGTTGTAGAGGGGATATTCTTTTTTGTTTTGTTTAATTTTGGGGTCACACTGGCAATGCTCAGAGGTTACTGTAGTCTCTGTGCTCAGGGATTATTCCTGGTGGTACTTGAGTTACCATATCTGGTGTGAGGAATGGAGCTTGGGTCAGCTGTGTGCAAGGCAAGTGTCCTACCTGCTGAATATCTCTCCTGTCCCCTGGGATACTTTTAATATGAATATATTCTATCTTAAATAGAATAAAAGTAGGGAGACTTGACATTTTTTCTTTCTTTTTTTTTTTTTTTTTGGTTACACCCAGGGTTCAATCCTGGTTCTGCACTCAGGGATCACTTCTGACAAGGCTTGGGGGACTATATGGGATGCTGGGGACTGAACCCAGGTTGGACTCTGCAGTATACTTTATTATTTCCCCAGTCCCCCCAAATTATTTTTATTTAAAAAATATACTTGAATGTTTTGCAGATTTGAGGTCATGTAGAAAAACGAGAAAACTCAATTTCTGTGTTTAAATATATTTGCTTTTCTGTTAGAATTTGTAACCTTATATGTTTTTAATAAACACAGATCTCATGTCTAGTGAGAACATAATAAAAATATAGTTTGGGGGAACAAATTATATTTGTTTCATTGTCTAGAGACGATATTATTTTCATGTAAAGAGTACTTAGGGAACTTAGCTTCCTGTTTTCCCTTTTTGCACCTGTTATGACTGTTCTTAGAATGCCAATCTCTCTTGAGATAGTAATAAATAGAAAATTTACTCATTTTTGGCAAGTCCATAACTTTTAGTACAAAAACAAAATGTTGTTAATGGTTATTGTTACTGATGTGAGGGTGTGGAACCTGATAGAAGACTGTGGTGTTTTTCACAGTTCGCGCCCTGCTCTTCTGAACTCTGTTCATTTTCATTGCAACCCGATGGCACATGTAGAGACTCCCACACCCTTGGCAGTTTTCTTGCTGTCCACAGTTATACTTGTTTGGAGTTGCAATTTAACAGTTACTTAAGAACATTTTTCAAGTTATGGTATATGTGACTGATTTTGTTTTCCTGGGCGATAACTCTGTGGAGCTGAAGTCTTGACAATGGCAGATTAATTTGTTTATTATTTCTTGTTTTGTTTTTGGAGGGATTCTTCCTGGCTCTATGCTTGGCGGTCAGTCCCACTGGCATTCAGGGGACCGGAGGTGCAGAGGTGTGGACTGGGACATCCAGCATGCAAAGCATGCTCTCAGCTTGTTGAGCCAACTCTCTCTAGCCTGGCTCTAGCATTTTTTTTTAACACATAAGTGACCTTAATTTAAGTGTTCTAAAAGCTGAGTCAAAGGCAGTATCAGCCAATTCTTAAAATAACGTTACAAGTTTAAATACCACTGCTACTGTTCTTTTGTTGTAAGCCTGAAATAGATCATAAATCTCTTTTTGTGTATGAGTGTGTGTGGAAGGAGGGGGACAGGATTTGGGTCAAATCCAGTAGTGCTTGGGGGCTACTTTTATGTCTGTGCTCAAGTTTTGCTCTGGCAATGATTGGGGAGAAATTCAGGGCTAGAGGTCCAACTGGGATTGGTTACAGGCAAGGTCCCCTGTCCTATTTATTCCTTTGACTCTAGATCACAGTTCTTAGCAGGTTCAGCAGGAAAACCACCAAGTGTTTCATCAGGCATAAAAAGGTAATTTGAACTAGTCTTTAGAT